CAATGCAGACACGTCGTCATCTTTTGCCTGCGACCTTATGGGGGCAAACTGGACAAGCTCATGCGATATTGAAAGGTGGAAATCGCGAGCCCCTCCCTACCACGTTCTCGCTCGGACGAAAACGTGATCGCCTCGTTTTCCTGGGAAGTGGATGGAAAAAGGCTGTTAAGAAGCTTGATTTGAAGGAAGGCGACAAGGTGATCATTTCTTTGGATGATAGAGCAAGTTCCACTTATTCGATATTCTCGCCCAACCTGCAAAGTGGACATAAGTCTGTCATCAAGAAATTTGACCTGAATAAATCACCGGAGGCATCAGATGAAGGGGAGATGGATTAAATTAATGTTGTAGTGCGCGCGCTCCAATAATTAATGTTGGAAAAGGATTACGGCAAGGAGATCCTTTATCCCCATTCTTATTCTTGATGATTGGGGAGGGATTAAACGGATTGGTGCAGAAAGCAGTGTCGGAGGGCATGTTTCAAGGTATAGAGATTGGCAGGAAGGGGTTAGCAGTTTCTCTACTTCAATTCGCGGATGACACAGTCATTATGGGAAAGGCTGACATAGAGAATATAACCCTGGTTAAAACAATTCTGCGATGGTTTGAACTGATGTCTGGGCTACAGATTAATTTTAGCAAGAGCAACATTTATGGATATAATGTTCCAATGAGATGGATAGAAGGATCAGCAAGTATGTTGCGATGTGGAGTTGGGAAAACACCTATTATTTATCTGGGAATGCCTGTGGATGGAAATCCAAGGAATAGGAAACTATGGGAACCAGTGATAAAAAAATTTCGTGCTAAACTTGCTGTCTGGAAAGCTGCTACGCTGTCCTTCGGTGGCCGCCTCACTTTGCTCAACTCGGTACTTTCTGCTCTACTCATTTTCTATATGTCATTATTTTTAATGCCAAATTCTGTGATTACTAAGTTAATTCGCATTCAAAGAACTTTCTTATGGGGAGGGGGGGAGTTAAAAAAGAAAATTTCATGGGTGAAATGGGAACATGTATGTCGCACTAGGGTAAAAGGGGGCTTGGGGGTGCAGGATTTGCGTAGGAAAAATTGGGCACTTTTGGGGAAATGGTGGCATAGATTTGGGGATGGGGTAGAGAGCTTGTGGAAAAGGGTAATAACAGAAAAATACTACGAGGGCAACTGGAAGGAGGCGGATATTATGGCTATTGGGAACTGGAGAGTATCTAAGCTTTGGAGAGATATTATTAGTATAGGGGGGCAGTCGATGAGAATACATAATATGTTGGTAGAGGGGTTTAAATGGGAAGTGGGTGAAGGAAATAGGGTGGGTTTTTGGAGAGAGAGGTGGATAGGGGGGAAAAATTTAAGGGATCTATACCCGAGGCTGTACGCACTGTCTATGAATAAGGAGGGTAATATCTCTGAAAGGGGGGTATGGGAAGGGGATAAATGGTGTTGGGATCTGGAATGGAGGAGGGGGAGAATAGGAAGAGAGAAGGACGAGGAGGAGGCATTGTGGGAGAGTTTGGGTAAATTGCAATTAAAGAAGGGTGTGAAAGATTGTTGGACGTGGCTACATGATTCAGATGGTAGTTATATGGTGAAGAAGGCTTATGAATTTTTGGCCCCTTCGGAAGGTATCTTAGAGGAACAGTTGTGCAAAGTTATTTGGTGCAGATTAGTACCATCCAAAGTGTCTTTCTTTGGATGGCGTTTATGTCTTGATAGGCTTCCAACTAAGGGGAACATTAGAAAGCGAGGGGTGCATTTACAGGAAGAGGAATTAATGTGTGTTTTGTGCCATAACATGATTGAGGAGGCTAACCATTTATTTAGTATGTGTAAGGAAGCATGGATTTTGTGGACAGAGGTGTTGCAGTGGTGGAACATGAAGACGGTAATGCCAAATATCGTACGAGGAGTGGCAAATATCTTTGTATACGATTTGGGTAGGGTAGTAGGGAAGGAGATGGGTGCTTGTATCTTTCTAGTTGTATCATGGTATTTATGGTATTGGAGAAATGGTAAGGTATTTGATAATGAAGCTATCATCAGGGGAAGATTACTAAATATGATTCAAGCTAAATCATTTTTATGGATCAAGAATAAGGTAAATGGTTGTGTCTTTTCATTTAATGAGTGGAAGGACAACCCTGTAGCGTGTGCTCTGTCAATGAGAAGTTACAAACAAGCAATGAAATTGGTCCACAAACAACAAAAAGAAGGTTACACTGCAGACCGGAGTGCAAGCTGAAATTTGTTCGAGGCATAAAGGCTTCATTGAGCAGGTATTTCACTTAGGTAAGCTGTTGTAAATACTTGCTCAACTATTCTGCGTATCAGTGGATTGAAAAGTGGAAGTTTTTGATGTTCAGAGCAGGGAGCAATGTAAAATCTGGAATGGAGGACTTAATCTCGACACGGGTATAGTGTCGACACTTCGAGTGGGTGTCGACACTATTAGTCAGTTAGTTCTCTTTTGTACATTTATGTCTCCTAATTATTGATGTTTAAGGGTTTGGGGTACCCTTGTACTCTATATATCAATAA